TGTCTGAAGCAGAACATGTCTGATTACCTGCCAAGTCACTTCATTCAAAGCTCATTCGTGACTTCAGTGAGGCAAACCCACATTTTGACATGCCAGCCTTATAATGTTAGAGGGACTCCATCACATTATGTCATTTTAGTGATCCACAGTTTTTCCTTTCAGAACTGTGAAAGTTCAGCAGCACACATTCAGTAATCTTATGCTACACAGACACCTAATCCTGTATAAAGAATTCTGAAACAGGGATGTAATATGCAACTGTGAAAAGATGTCTGATGAATAATTTGAAAACAATGAATGGGAGTGAAGATGAGCATGTACAGAGGATGTTTGCCTCCTTTTTGGAAAGGAGAATGAAACTGAAGAGCGAAGTAGAGAGGGGACTCGGGTCAGAGGGCCTGGCAGGAGCATTACGTCCGATATCAACCTATAAGCTCTTCATAACAAACAATGTGGAAGTACTCCAACGGAGGTCAGCCCAATCTCTTTGGGCCTCTGCCTTCACTAAACATCTGATTACATATGAATCATCATGGCACAAGTTAATATGATATTGATATCTTAACAGTTTATAGACACATTATTTTTAGTGTGTTCACTTATGAATAAATCATGAAGGAAGCTATAGTTCAGAATTCACCGTATTAACTCAGTTATCAATCATGTAAATATTGCACAAAAAGTCAAATTGTTTAATAAAAATCCAAGAAAGTTCATCCTTTTCTCAAGAATTTTTTACTTTTCCCCAACCTGCAGTCAAGTCTTGCTAAATATAACAACCAGCAAATCCAACCAAACCAAATCCACCAGCCAATTAACCAATCACAGTATCAACACCTTCATGGCATCCATACATAAATGCTGCTCTTTTGCTACGGACACAAGTTTGACATCTGTGCTACTAAATGTAGTAGTCATATATCAGGCTTTCATCTACAACAGAAATCTACTTTACCCATTTACTTTAGTATTAGGAAAGACATAAAAAGAAATTTGAGAATAATGAGCAATTCCCCACAACATTGGATATTTAAATACTGGCTTTTGGTTCTGGTGTGTATATATTGAACATGTAAATACTGGCCCTGATGACTGAAAAGTTTATGGAGAACCTCAGCTATATAGAGAGAGGGATTTAAAAATAATGATTAACACTAAGTAGGCAACAATGACTTTGGCAATATATATCAAAGTCATAATGCATATATTCTGTGATTTAGTAATTCCAGTTCTAGAATTTTACCCTTGAGAAGTAGCCACACATATGTTCAAGTCCATATGTAGTCATGATTGTATTGACCTGAGTTGAAAAATAACAGTTAGAACTTAAAGTATTGTTTTAATGTATGCACACATTCTAATATTATTTTTATTCCTTATTGCATGTCAGGTCTTATGACACATACCTACATACTTAAGTATCTATGCATTCTTATGACACTAAAAATAGTGTGTTTAGTCATATACATACACATATACAAGCTTTTAAATATACATTTTGAATGATTAAATTTCTCATTTTTCATTAGGGACTGAGTCACGTAGCACATACTAGAGCTGATGAAAACAGCTTATTATTTATAGCATCTAAAAAGAGTATTTGAAACCACTAAACAGGTCACCTTGCTAAGCACTCAGATCCCTCCATGAGGAATATAAATACTATCCCTGGCTCCAACACAGGAGTTCTGGAAAGTGAACTGACTCAGTGTGAATGTGTCTAGGGACCTGGCTCCTGGAGTGGGTTCCCAAGTTCTGCTAGTTTCTCATGGCAATCCTCTGTGCCCCACTCATCCCACAGCCACATCAAGGATGGTGGCTTTCAGCAAGAGCTGTGATCATCTATGGGTTGTCAAGTTTATTGAAGTTTGTCCTTTTGAACTCCAGATTAATGTGCTAGACTCATATTGCTCTTTGTGTGCTTCTGGGCGTCTAGTGTACCAATGGAGGTGTTGAAAGACTTCAAGAACCCTCATATATGGTGTATATTAGAATCCCAATGACAGTGTCATCCAGCAAAGCTAGAAACCAATAGAGATTCAAGTCTGTTACTTTTGGATCCTTGTTAGGAAGTATTTCTCTGAAATTCTAAGCATGTATTTTAAATACTTACTTTAAGTGTTGCAACTGTGGCTTTTAACTAACTCTGTACAAGGCAGTTTGGTAAACAAAGCCTTTAGAATGGCATCCACTGATACTCTTAGTATTACACACTACAGACCATCTGAAGTGGTTTTTAAGAGACAGAGATCTTTAAATAACCCAAATTAAATTTTGAAGAACATTCACCCAGCATCCTCATGTGTGGTAGTGTGTTGTGTAACACCAGCAATGCACTTCAGTGTGTTCCTGTAACATTCCGGAGCGGAGGTACAGTCTCTGAGTGTACTTGGTGCAGTGGCATTGGGGGCACCAGAGGTTGCAGCACCAGCTGACTGGGGTGCAAGCCCGGTTTCATCACTCTCTAACAGTGTGATGTCCAAACTTTTTGAAAAGTCATTCTAAATGCTTTGTTTACCAAACTACCTTGTACTGAGTTAGTTAAAAGGCACAGTGGCAACACTTAAAGTATTTAAAATACATGCTTAGAATTTCAGAGCTTGCCTCTGATTTCACTGTATTCAAAACAGAGATAGCAATATCTTCACCACAGCATTCTTGCAGTGATTTAATAAATTAAACTAAGCCCCTAGAGCATAATAGAGGGTATCGTAATCATATTATTCCTCAATTTAAACAAAAGGGCACAATGTAAGATTTAATGTTTGCATGCTTAACATTAAACCCGAATTTTCTGTGATAGATTTGTTCATGGCCCAAAGCTGATGATTAGATGGGTATATTTGTAATGACTCATTTGTTTATTCCAGAAGTAACAACACAGCTTTTAAAGACTGGTTGGCTTTGGAGAAAATTAGGTAACAGCCAAAAGAAATAAGAATTTGAAATGAAAGGAAACCTGTGTCACCTTTCCAGTGATCAGATACTTTCTGGTTTATTAAAAAAATGCATGTGACCAGGCAGAGAATAAAATGGTCCTAAAAGTGCTGATTTACATCTAGTCTGGAGGCAAAACATGGAAAGAAAAATGACTTCAACCCCTCTTGTTCGCAGCATGTCAGCTGCTGTCTGATTTCAACAATTTTCTGTTTGTGATCCACATGTAAGGTGTTCTGGGATCTCCTTAGAACACAGACACACAACTCTTGTAAATCTAGTTAAACTAGATTACAGTCTTACTTTTGCCAGGGACCTTTTTTTATTATTCTTAATTTCTTATAACACTTTGTATTCCAACATTTCTCAATTCAATTTGGATAAATTGCCTTGAAATTCTCTGCCAAGTTAGATTAGTCTGACTTAACCTATGGGACTCTATCAGAAATAGATGGGTCACTTCTGACATCAATGGAGATGCGATGGTTCTTAAGGGACTTGATGGTCAGCCCCTGCTTCTCCAACAAAACCCTTAGAGTTCACAGGAGTGACTGCCATCCAGGATTGCGGGAGTTTTTCAAGTTAGCCCCCCATTTCTGGGAGTGTTTCCCTCTAGGGCCTAGATCCTAATCCGAATCTCTTCTCTAAGCCTCAGAAATGTCTGGAATTCCTTCCAAATGTGGCTATTGAGGTTGCAATTTCCAGAGGTTCAGGAAGGGGAATTGACATATATGCTTCATGGTATCTGCTCCTGTCACAGAAAAATCAAAGTATCCTCTAAGACGTCGGCCCATTCTCTGTCCCATTTTGACCCCTTGTACCCAGGCCAGGGCAAATATAAAAAGTGCATTCTCATTTCCTTGTGTTTTGTCTTTTTATGTGTAACTTTCTACTGCTGCTGCTGCTGAGGGAGCAGCAGAGTTTTAAATATACAACTTCCATATTTTTTCTTAAACACTGGAAACCTCCCCTTACTCCCCTGTTAATTGGAAAACTAACAGGCTTACTGTGAAGTTGTGGAAACTGAGGCCAACTGGGCTGGGAAGTGTCCAGAATGTCGCAGCAGTCTGTCATCAAGTAGTGTGGGTGTTTATGTTCTGCTTGGTTCTTTGTGCCTGTTTTCCAGGGCGTCCCTGATAACTACAGAATAATGTGAACTTCTAGAGTCATTAAACTTTGAGTTTTCCCTGATTCTTTCCCTAAATAATCAGTGGGATGGAGTCAGGTAGTTTGTACTTTAGCATCTGGCACATTTGGGTCTGACCTCCAGATTTCTTTGTCACTCTATAATTCTGAGTTTCTTGTTGGTCATCTATGAAATGGAGGTAATATGTACTTGTGGGTGGTTGGAAAGAGCAAAAGAAATAAGATGTCTAATGTGGTGGTTCATGCACCATAGACATTTAGTGATAAATAACTGCAATCACTTACGTTAGGTAAAATGTGTTTGTTGTGCTCATCAGCCATCCCACCACCCACCCCGATTCTGACCTGTGGTAATTTGTTCTTAAAAATCTATGCCAGACCCTACTTTCAGGATCCTCCAAGACAGCACTTGCAAAAGACAGTGTTCACATGAATCACCTAGACAAGATGCAGATTCTGATCTAGTTGCCTCAGCGAACCCTCAAGCGCTGTCCAGACTGCCAGTCCAAGGGCCACACCTGAGCAGACAGAATGTAACCAGGTGGCTGAATTTGGGGATTATATCCTCAGGGTTCCTTTTCCTCTAACTTTGCAGTGCATCATTATTAGCTAGAGGGCTTGTTAAACTAGAAATGACTGGGCTCTGTATCACAGTTTCTGACTGAGTAGGTCTGGGGGGAAGAGGAGCCAGAATAATCCTCATTTCTAGAAAGTTTCCAAGTGATATTATAGCTGTTCCTCTGCGGACTACTCCAGTCTTGGGCTTAGTAAAGGCCTGCTGAAGACCGGAAGGGAATTTGGTCCCAATGATAAGTGATGGCTATAGCAGGTGGATCTTCCTGAGGAAGCTCCTTCTGAAAGCTCTATCCCACATCCCCTAAGGCTGCCATGATAGTAGCATAGCAGGTGCCATTTACCTTGTAGACATTGATGGGGATGTCAATGATGATGTGCAGCAGGTCTCCCAGAGCCAGGCTGGCGATCAAGATATTGGGGCCATTGCGCATGCACTTGTTCTTGTAGATGATTCTCAGAAGTGTGGAGTTCCCGATGATGCCCAGAACGAACACTAGGCAGGACACCACAGTGTTGATGTATTTGAAAGTTTCCTTAATCTCGATGGATGCATGGCATGGGGGAGGGGTGCGCGGTGGGACTCTCTCTGGCCTCCGTTCTTTGGGTATTTCAGCAGGTGCAGAGGACTGCTGCAGGCTGGCGTTGGAATCCCTTGGCTGGGAAGTCTTAGGGAGTGGCGTCAGGATCTCGCTGGCCCCCAGTAGCTGTGGAGTGGGGGTAGCAAGCGAGATTCCTCTTTCCTCCGCCCAGACCTCGGCCACCCCGCAGGCAAAAAACAGCGCCACCAGGACGCGCCCGCCCAAGCTTGGCGGAGGCCGCATGCTGCTTCCTGCTCTGGTAGGCGCCCCGCAGTTTTTTTGTTTTGTTTTGTTTTTGTTTTTGTTTTTCAGAGCCTGCAGACCTGTCGGGAAATCAAGACAGAACACTTTGGTCAGCTCCCCCAACCACGCCTCTGCAAACGCTAGCACAAGGAGCTACTGTGCGCCAACTCTAGTAAAAGCAAATCTTCCAAGTTGACGCACCACTGGGGAACTTTGGCGCGCCTGGCCCGCACTTTCCCATTCAATCTCCTCTGGATCCTGTCTCCCAGTATTTTACTTCCCTAATGTTCCAGCAAAGGGTAAATCTAAAGGAGTGGGGCATTTTGTATCTATGAGGGAAGAACCTGTGTCCAGCTCAGAGCCCTTCAGGGTGTGCTGGGAACGAGACAAGTGTTTTAGCTAACGGAGCTCCTCCGTGGGCATTAAGGAATCAAGGCACCTAGCGGCTGAGGTCACGTGCAAACCTCTGTGTTTTGCCCTGTGTAGGGGGCGGGGGAATCCCCTGTAGCCAGGTTCTGAACTCCAAGTCTCCTCCCTAGGGTTAAAGCTGCTCCTGGCTGGTTGGCTGAGCATAGGTTCTGCGAGCGCGCCCAAAACCGCCTGGGAAGCATCGGAAAAGCTCAAACACTTGTCATGTGTCCATTTGGGGTGAGAGGACATTAGCGTTTAAACGGGAACATCTGTCCCACTCCTAGAATCTGCATACTCTCCTTTACCCCCTACGCTCAATTTAGTTTGCTGGATCGGCAAAGTCCTCAACAACTAAGTCAATCCCAGGCCCCAGGATAAGATTCAATCACTGCGATTAACACAATACCCACCCTACCCAGCCAGAATGTTTACCTCGTGGATGATAGGCGACAGGCAGAGGACGACAAGTGGAGACCTTCCCGCGGAGCAGAGCTGCAGCTCGTTCCGCAGCCAGTTCCAGCCTAAGCAAGAGAGCCGGAGAGAGAAGAGCAGAGCACGCCTCCTCCAGCTGCGGGCGGGTCTGGCTCTGACGAAAGTCGGAGGGAATGCCAGAAAGCAAACCCTCCACGGCTTGCTCAAGATCTCTGCTGTCCCCAGACAAGTACTTTTATTCATTCGTCCCTTCCCCATCAATCACCGCCAGACTCCTCCCGCGCCTTCCGACCGACCGCACTGCAACCTTTCCCCTTGGGGACGCCTGGACAGCATCAGCAACCCAGAGGCTGTCCCGTGGCCCCTGGGCGGGTCCCTAGAGGCTGTTTATTTGTGGTGGTTTCTAAAGTTCTTCCAAAGAAGAGCTGAAATCAAGGCCGGAGTCATCACACGCCCCACGGTGCTCTTGGGGCTCCGTGATTAGAATCAAGCTCTGTGTTAACGTCAGGGGACTTTGAATGCTGCCTGCTGTTCACTCTGACTTGTATTGCAGATAAATGATCCACTGTGATAATTATGAACTGGTTGGCTTGGGGGCGCTGCTGTTGGCTTTGTTTTTGCTTTGCCCTGAAACGTGGGAGAAGAGCGGGATCTTTTCTGCTCAGGCATCTCCCAAGCCCTTTAGAGGACTGAAAAGTTCTGCCCAATCCTATAGCTCAGCTATTGTCCCCTCTTCCTGCTGTATCCTGCAGTGCTACTGTGAGAACATCTCTGGGCTTGTATACCATACCCATTAGGGACATATCTCTACTTGTATGGCACAGATGATAGTGACTGATAGTTTTGCTCAAAATTCAGACTGTGAAATGCACCGGTTTTTCCTCTTTTGTCTTGCAGTCAGGGAGTCCCCCACTTGAGCTGTGTAATTGCAGACCCAGAATGACCCGCGCTGCCCAGAGAACAGGTGCCTGAATCTTGCTTTCACAGCTGGTTAATGGCATATGCAGGACAAGAGTCTTGCAGTGTTGGATGATAAGTAGTACTTTCCTGGAAAAAAAAAGTTTGGAAAGTCAATGTCTAAGTATTTAAAAAGATTAACTTTAAATGTGAAAAATGGTTAGTAAGAACATAGTAGAGAAGTAAGGATAAAGGAATGAGAAATAGGTCTAAGGTTGAGAGTACTGGTTTCAAAGCTGGCTGTTTTGTTCATAGTCCTTATTCTCCCCGTCCAATAAAATCAACATTCAATTGCTTCAAAGCTGAGCCAGACAAGAAAAGGTCATGTTAAACAAGGGTGAGGTTGCTGTGTGACAGTGTGGCTTGGGTGGTTCCACCAGAGGCAGTCTGCCCTGCTTTCATGTGCCTTCTTACCTTCCTGCATTGGCCTCAGATGGGAAAACCTTTTCTCTCACTCTATACCCCTCTCATCTCCAGCATCAACTCCATCCACAGTCCCTCTCCTGAGTACAGAATATCTGAATCATCATTGATGTCTTTCTTTCCCCTGTCTCACAACTCTTTCTGGCTGTCAGCCACAACTCAATCCTGGACCACCTCATTCTTGATTTTATGTAAATTAATTTCTGTTTTAGGATAGGGCTTGAACTGCATGTATATTTTGTTCCATCAAAACACCTGCCATAAGTTGGATTGAAGAAAAGTTTTTAATCAATAATTATATTTTAAATTATTTCATCATATTGTGGCTACTCTACTGCCAAGGACAAAGCCCAATACTTTTAAAGTAAGCATTCTTCATTTAGAATGTAAAATACAATTCTGGCTACCCATGATAGGGTCTACTACCTATTTAAGGCACCTAATTTTCAGGGTAGCTCATTTACTATCACTGTAGTCCTTGACCTCATTATTATTTCTCATGATTCCATAGGTAATGAAACTAAGTTTCAGGAATTCACTCAAGAATGTGGCTAGTTGTTGGGCCTGGATACGGAACTAGAATTTGCTTTTTGTTTTCATATTTTTTGCTTTTTAAAAAGATTTCTTTATTTATTTGAAAATCAGAGTTATTGAGAAGCAGGGAAGAACAGAGATCTTCCATCTGCTGGTTCACTCCCCAGATGGCTGCAACAGCCAGGGCTGCACCATTATTGCAGCTGGGCTAGGCCGAAGCCAGGCATCAGGAACTTAGTAGGTCTCTCATTTGGGTAGCCAGAGTCCAGGTACTTGAACCATCTTGTTCTGCATTTTCTAGGGCAATTAGCAGGTTGCTAGTTGGAAAATGGAGCAGTTGGACATGAACCAGCACCCACACCATATGTCCTTGTTGCAGATACAGGCTTTATTCAGTATGCTACAATGCAAGTTCTTTTTTTGTTGCTGTTGTTTAAAGATTTATTTATTTGAAAGACAGAAAGACAGAGAAAGGGAAGGAAAGAGAGGAAAAGGGAAAGATCAATGTGTGATTTGCTGCTGGACTTTCCAGAGGGCTACAACAACCAGATCTGGGCCAGGTGAAAGCCAGGAGCCAGAGACTCTACCATGATGTACGTGCATACAGGGGTCGCAGCACTTTCTGCTGCCTCACAAATCCCACTCACGTGGAATTAGACCAGAATAACAGCACGGGAACAGAACCAGTACTCTGAAACATCAGCATCACAGGTGGCATCTTAAACGTGCCATGCTACAGTACTGGCCCTGGTACTAAGACGTGAGTTTATGTCTATTCGGTTACATGAACTTTACTTTTAATTGACCGAACTTAATACAGTCTAGATGAATTATTTTTTTACTTCAAAAGAGTAATGCTTTAGACTTCAGTAACATTTAATTGTGGCTTAAATGTTGTACCTTAAACATAAAGGTAATCATTTAACATCACCATGTGATCTTTCTAAGTGCCCATTATCAATCACCGAAACTGGTTTCTATCTCAGTTTCCCTTTTTGTAAATGAGGAGAAATGATTAGAATTAGAATACCTCTGTGCTCTATTGCATCAGTCTGTCTCAGAAACTGAAAACTTCAGCGTGGCCTCAAGCGTTGCAGTGAGGAACATGGGAACAGATCTTTGGATCCATTTACCTATTTATTTATTTTAGTCATATCTTAGAAAAATACTGCCACCAATTCAGGTTTTTTCTCTGTGTCACCAAATGCCTTATTGATAAACTTCATAAACTAACAAGCAGCTAAGTAGCTTATAAATATGACTTGCACACAAGGGTAATTCAAAAGTTCATGGAAAAAAGAAAACTTAAAAAATAGCTCATCTTGGTGCAAAATAATTTGGGATCCCTTTATGATATCTGTTTTCCTATGAACTTTTTAAAGTACTCACATATATCAAGTCACACATATGAAGTAACCAAATAAAAACTTTGGGTCTTGAACTAATTTTGCATTTATGAAGAGATTTTTTTTTCTGGATAAATGTGAAATCTTTCAAAAAGCTGCTTTTCTGAAGATACTTTTACAAAGTGTAGTTCTAAGAAATCTATCAAAATTCCAGATTGGCTAAGATTACCTCTGATAGCCTGAAAGGCAGTGAGAGGCAATGTCCCAGTATCCCCTTTAAATGCTGTAGCTGGAAGGTCCTAAAGACAGGATTGCATGCACTTCAGAATGCATTCCTCAAAGAGGTTTATCATAGGGAGCCTGCCCAAAGCAAATCTTCTCCCCTGGTAAGAGAACAAAGAAAAGCCCTTTTAGCCACAAAAAAATCCCAATGCTTTCATGTAATCCTCTTGATATGAATGCACCCTTTGAAAACTACCTTGAACTCTAAATCATGAATGCTGAGGGACAAGGTGTGTGAAAAATGCAGAAAGAGTTGGTTCAATGCTTCTCCACAACTTCCCCTAGGATTAGATCCAATGATCAAATAGTGGTTGAAGTAGGAATATAAAAAAGATTTAAAGTAACTACACAAATCAATAGCACTCAGGTATGAACCTTTCTATTCGTTGCGTTTTCTCTAATGGTAAGTGACTTTAGCTATTTGTTCTTATGGTTAAGAATTTTTAAAACTTAAGATAAAATGCACATAATACTGAATGGACAGGGCTGATGCATATAGTTTGAAATGTTTGGACAAATGTCCATACTTTTGTGACCCATAAACCTAAAAGGCTTTTTGGAAAGGCATGTAGTCTCCTAAGATAGCACAATTTGAACATTTTACAATTGGACACT